TTTTATTTTTCTTAAAATGCATCCTGTGGAGAAACTTGAATCTTAAGAGAACATGAAATACCCTAGAACATGACCACAGAGGAAATTATGCTGATGGAAAGGAGGGTAGATCATCATGGCATGAATGTTCCAAAGGAGAGGAAGTGGAATGATGACTTACATACCATTTCAATTACAGGAAAAATAAATACAAACCACACACACACACACACACACACACACACACACACACACACACACACACACACACACACACACACACACACACACACACGTAGGTGGGTTTATTCACAGGCATGATCCTTTTAGGAAATTCCACTAAAAGAAAACAGGTCTTCCTGAAATGAGTGGGAAGGCCTCACACTCTGGGCATTGTAATTAGGTCTGTTTGTGTTCACCAGGCCCTGACTCTCTCAAGGCTCCATGTGGTTTTGTATATTAAGCCCAACTCTGGCTGCCCTTTCACCCTGACTCAAATATAATCATTCACAGAATGAGCCTGACAAAGCTTCCTAAGTATGCTCCACCCAATAGATGTGGGATAAAGGACCCAGGAGTGAACATTTCAAGGACTTGTTAAGGCCAAACTCCTCGTCAGAGCTTTTTATACATTAACAAGTGGTTGTATTCTTTTTTCCAGTAACTATAAGTGGTAATTAACTTATCTTTTCCTCACATACAAGGACCAAAATTAAGGTGAACTATCTCATTTTAAAGACTGTGGTCTTTCAAACAAATTATATAGCTTAATCTAAGAGTCAAACAATATGAGAAAATGTTTTTTCCTCAAACAGAAAAATAAATGTGGGCTGCTCATGAATCTGCTCCAATGAATACCAAACACACCCAGGGAGTAGACACCAGTACTTCTATAAATATAGATATAAATGTGGAGAAATGAGTGCTGTACAGTAGCATAACTATTTGTTTTCTAACTGCAAATAGACAAAAAGTCACAGAGGAAAAAAAACCTTAAAAAATTGAATTGAAATTTAAAGACATGTATAAATCTATATATGATGAGAATATATATACCACAAGAAAAATAAAAGCAGCAAATTCTAACACATTGTGTCAAACAAATACTGGTATAGTTTTAAAATCTAAAGCTATCCTAACTTCTGGCTTAAGAAGTGATCAACATATTTTTAATTGTTATATACAAATTTATAAATAATACAACAAATTAGAACTAGTTTAAGTTGCTAAAAGGTTATCCAGTCTTATTTATTCCTACTAAAACTGAGATTATTATTTGACACTATTATAAAAAAGTAATATAAATTACAAAATAATGAAATTTTATAATTTAAAAAATCAAGGTATTTTAAGATCTAATTGTATATGAAGGTTTTTTTCTTTGCTCTCTTTAGAAGGAACCAAAAAGAACTTATTTAAAATAAATTATAAATTTACTTGAGCCACATAAATTGGACTGATTCTCCCAAAAGACATGAAGCTTTTTGAAAAAAGTAACTTAAGGCAAATTCTAAAATTAATTTAGTAGCTCAAAGACCCTGAATAACAATTTTACAAAACAATCTATTACTTTAGACAACACAAATGATTGTGTAGTCTATGCAGATGCCTCCAAACTCATTTATTTTATGCATGAGCATGTAAACATTATGTTTCCAATTTGATTCTGAAATAGTATCTGATTTTTCCAGGCTTGAGATTCACGGTCCCTTGGTTATATCTCAAACATGTCTGCATCCTCTGTCATGCATTTGTCTGGTTTCTGTACCCTGTCAGATGGGACCTTTGTGCTAATTTGGTAAAAATCAGTTCTCACGTTTGGTGCTGAGAGACTGATAACTGAATTCTCAAATGAACTGCCCATTTTCAGAGATGAAGTACAGAGTTGTGGACAATGACTGTTTTCCCACAGTGTAAATTCTTCAGACTCAGCTGTCAGCACGTGTGTGTGTGTGTGTGTGTGTGTGTGTGTGTGTGTGTGTGTGTGTGTGTGTGTGTGTGTGCAGCACAAAAGCAGCTTTCACTTGATGGCTTTTTCCTCCAGGGTCATAAAAATGAAATGGATACTCCTTTGTGCCATTTCATCTTCTAATGAGATTTTGTTTCTCAAGGACAGTGAAAGCCTCTATACCCCCTTAAAGTTCTTCATAGATCAAAGTCACCTCCTCTTTGAATATAAAGCAAACATTTTCCCTCCTACATAAATAATTTTCGATTGAGAGCAGACTAGCTAGCCATGCTAAAATGGGGCTGTTGCTATTGTTTTTGCCACTGTAAACATTCCAGGTTTAATGCTTGACAGTAGTCTTTCCATAATTGTCTTCTAGGTCTTTTGGAGTTTTACACACGTCCTTCTTTTTGACTATGCATTTTTTTTTTCCTTAGTGAGACTTCCAAATTCTCAGTGGTCACTCAAGTATCACTGCACCTCTTTTACCCAATAAGGGATGGGATTTGTCAGCCTGTTCAAAATCCTTTGGATACCACAGTGTTTGTGCCCAATCCAAAGCATAATCTACCTTTAAAGTACCAATATGGAACTGATATCAAGTTTAAAGGAAACTTCTTTGGAGAGCAAAAAAATCAGGACAGCTCAAGAAGTGAGTGTTTTGAAAAGGAGGTATATAAACTAAGCACTTGTGGCTTACACCTGTAATCTTAGCTACACAGGAGGCTGAGAGGCCTGAGGATGAAGATTCAAAGCCAGTCTTGGCAGAAAAATCTGAGAGATTCTTATATCTGATTAACCAGGAAAATGCTGGAAGTGGAGCCATGATTCAAGTAGTAGAGCACCTGCTGTGAGCAGAAAAGGCAAGTGTAAGATGACCCAGAATCAGCACAAATTTAAAGAAAAATAATAAAATGGGTAACAGTGGAAAATCCTGGGGGAACCTTGGGGAGATATTTTACACATGAAATTTGATTAAAATCTGTGAAATCACATTTCTGACCTTTGGAAGAAGTGTCAAGAATACAGACTAGGAGATAAAACTCAATTTTAACATGGCCAACTAGGATAAGAATGTTGCATAGAGAATTCTACTCAGATTACAAATGAAACCCTGATTAACCATGACTTTAGTAAAGGTTTATCTTTTGGGATAAGAGGGTAAGGATTTCATGGGGGAAAGTCCTGGTAAAAAGACATAAGGACAACCAAAAGAACTGTGAATTCAGTCATATGAAGAACCTAGGTAGAAAGGTCAGAAGAGGAAGGTGAGATGCATGTCTTGCTTCATAGTAAATGAAAAATAATTGACCAGTTAGAAATATTACAGGAGGAAAGACATGTCTAGTTAGTGAATTTGAGGTCTACTTTGTTTGAATAGTCACTTTGAAGCTTGAGGTCAATCTTGAACAAAGACTGTTACATAAAAGTCACGACAAGGCTATACTAAAACTACCAGCACAACAGTATTTATCACAGCATTATTTACCATAGCCAAGATATAGAACCAGCCCAGATGCCCCTCAGTAGGGGAATGGATCAAAAAAATATGATATGTATATAATGGAATTTTATGCCTCCATCAGAAAGAATCACACCACCTCATTTGTTAGGAAATGGAAAGACTTGGAGAAAATTATATTAAGTGAAGTAAGTCAGGCCCAAAGAAACACAGGTCCCATGGTTTCCCTTATTTGCAACAACTAGTGCATGTCTAGGACAAGCAGAAAAGGTCAAAAGCTATGTACATATGACCAGATGAGATGATGCTAAGTGAAATGAACCCCAAGATAGGGACACAAGTGGTTTTATCTTTCTTGCTATTGTTTTTTTTAACGTATTTGTAATGTACTATGTGATTTTTTTTGTTTCTTTTGTATGTTCTTCCCCCATAACCCCTGTTTTCACTGTATTTGATTCAGGTGCTCTGAATCTTGTATATGCATTTTTCTAATTTGGGGAGGGGAAGGGAAATAACAAAATGCTGAAACAAGGACTCAGGTTGACCCATTGTAACAATGAAATGTACAAAATACTATGTTGAAAATGAACTTTACAACTTTGGGTGGAGGAGGGAGGAGCTGGGGAGGTGGGGAGGAAAGGTATGGTAGGGGAAAAACAAAGGAGGAGGTAATAAGGCTCGATAGGAAATGTACTCATTACCTTATTCATATAACTGTAACGCTCTGTACAGTATTTTACTGTATATATACTATACATATTATATATATATATATCCTTGTTTCACTGAGGCCTAGAGGCAGATGTGTGATTTTTTTCCCCATAATTAAGTAATGGATAATAGTAATGATTGAGTAATCTTTGAAGTTTCTAGAAGTAGGAGCAGTAAAATAAGTGTAGCAGAAATTCAGAGTGAGACGATCAAGGACCCTAATGAGAACATAGGTGAACTGTAATCTTCATGCCAATGAAGAGCAGGGGGCCAAGAAAATGTTCAGTGATGGGAGAATGGTGTCTGGGCAGCTTTATTTCAATACTTGCAGGCAGATTTGTATATTGCTTATCAATTAATATTATCAAGTGTTATTGTAGGGACTACTACAAAAATATCTGATAAATGTGTAAATGAATCAAGTGAAACATTATTATTAAAGTCCTTTGAAATGTTAAGAGCAATATCAATGTGATGTTATTGTAGTTATTTTCTAATGTTCAGTACCCTCTATGATGCTCTCAGGAGTAATGAGAGCTGGGAGGAGAAAACACTGCATTGTGAGATTTGTTGTGGTTCTGTGTCACACAGGATAGTAAAGTCATCTTATCTTTTCCCATTACCTCCCTTCCGTAACTCAAGACCAAATATCTTTCTTTCCATAGTTAACTACTGAGAAACTTCGAGTTTGGCACATAACAAGTATTTCCTGAACTTGTAATCTCCTTTTTTTTTTTGTCTTTTGCCCAACTTTCTCACACCCACAGCCATGAAGTCATTACCATTAGCGCTACAGCATACTGAATCCCAAGTCATATGTACATCCTATGAATTGAGAGTTCTCTGATGACTTCATGCAGTGGTGCATGTTGTATGTCTAGGTTCGCAGGCACCACCTACCATTGAGCCACCTGGAATCGTGCTGCTCTGTCCTGATTGGGTGGTGGTGTCCAAGTGTGCGGAAGATGGCAAAGTCCCGCCCCATGAAATCAGCTGCAGTTCCAGAGTATAATTCTCCGTCTATGTTGCGAAAAAATAAGACCACATACGTATTATTTAATTCAATTAAGGCAAAAGGGGAAAAAGTTTGAATGATGATTTGAGTGAAAAGAAGACTGTCATTTATTTCATTACCCCAAACTATATAGATTTCATCTTACATCTATATTGAAAGGGTTGTATTACATTTCCATTCACATGCTGTCAGGTTATTAACTGAACACAAACATAGAAATGCAAGTAAAATCTGATTCTCTGACGGTGTCTAAAACATGAAATTTCATTCTTTCCTGCTATGAACAGTGACAAACATTCAGTATTCAAAGATATAAACAATAGTCATTATACATAGATTTACAAAATGTGTGAAACTATTGTGGCTCTAATAATCTAATTTAATAGACTAAAATATCACTGTAAACTCTTTCATATTATATATTTTAGTGCCAACTAAATTCCAGTAGAATATGAAGTAATGAGATTTTTATAACTTAGAAAAAATATTTTTCTTGCCATTATTTTCTCTGATAATATTTTTAAATATTTTAATTATAGGGGTCTAATCAGAGAAGAGTTTTAATTTGAGGTTAGCTATTATTCACCCCAAACATAGGTCCACTACAGAACTTCATATATAACATAAATGTGCATAAATGTGGAAGAGGAAATGTTGGCAAACCCAAGTCATTATCACTGTGGATCAAGATTTCACTACATTTTGACTCATTTTTACCCAATTTGAAATGACTCTCAATCAGGGTTTAACAACAGAAGTAATATAAATCAGAAGCTAAAGAAGAGAAAGCGAAAGAAGAAAGGTTAAAAAAAAGGAGAAGCTGTTTTTGGTATTATTCTACACAATCAGGTGCTAGACTGAAGCTTTCAAATTATTTCATATAGTTATGTCAACATTGCATTACCTAAATAATGTTATCCCAATTTTACAACCCAAGAAATTCAGTATTTCTCAGCATAGAGGTTAGACAAGTCAAGGTGAAGGTTTAAACCTAGGCTCATTTAATTCAAAGACTTTTACACTAAATCAGACCACTTTTCAATAGGTGGAAGTTTGGAAAATTATGTTTTCTGACTTTGCAACAGAAAGTACTTCTTATTATTTTCTCCAGTTAACTTAATTGCCTGCCAACACAAAGTGAAATAATATATTTACAAATTAAAAGAAAAGAAAAAATGAATAATGAATCATTTTTCTAAATAGTCCACATTAATTACAGTAATCCTAAACACTAATTTTTGATTTTTCGGATGAGCTAATGTTTTTATTAATCCACTGATTAGGAACATAAAAATAAAGGCAGTCAGAGGTAAATGTTTTCATCTCAGGATATCAACTTAATATTAGGTTGAATATGCCAAGCAGAATTACCAGAAATGATAGAGTAATATTGATTAATCACTTTCGGTCTGCTAGCTTTCTAAGAATGAATGCAATCCATAATTATGGTTGCTATTATATATATAAATAGTTCAGGAAGAAGTTGAAATAACCCTCACAGTGCAATTGTTATTTGGAGATAGAAAGGAATCTGTTGCTCTTACTCCTTTGCTTTGTTATATTTTATTTTATTTTTTTATTCACTCACATAGGAGGTTGGTAAAGTCAATACCAATGAAACTAAAGGCAAGAAGAGACTGCTTTTCTTTTTCTTCATAACAGATAGAAAGTTCATTCAGACAAAAGAAAAGTTATTCAGAAGAGCTGTTGACTTATTATTAAAAAGAGAATTAAATTAAAAATTTACTTTTTAATCAAAAGAAGGCTACAGCTTAGACACTGATTGCCTCCATCCATGCAAAATTATCTTGCACCTAATTACTGTTTTTGGCAAAAGACGGTGATTTTCTCTAGCCAGAGGGGTCCAGATGATTGGGTGGTAGCAATGATCACTTTTTATCCATGCTTTATATTATCCTTGTTGTATGGCAGCAACTGTTTCTTTGCACCAAAACTTAGATAAGATTTTCTGCTGGATTTCAACAGGGATTCTTATTGGGAATGATTGTCTCATGTAAAATATAACATCTTTGTTATTTTTGCATGAATGCACAAGAGGTAAAAAATAGGAATCAAAATGGCATACTATCATTTATTACTTTTTAAACAGTGAATACAACAACAGAAGCATATGAAAATTAATATACTCAAACACTTTAATTATCCACCAAAAATAGGATATAGCCTGTGAGTATTCAAAATGATTTAGAGTTTTGGTATAAGTTGTATTATTTTAACAATTTAACAAAAATGCTCCCTAGTCAAACTTACTTTGTAGTTTCTATGTAATTTATAGAGTGATCAAATTATATGTTGATTTTTGTGCATAGTGTTGTGATCATTTTCTAAACCCGAATACAAATTGTTTGGAACAAACATATTAGTAAATACTATTCTGCCTTGATATAAATGATATTATGGATGTTATCCACACTTTTGAGCTTTCTACATATACTAATAGGCCAGTGAAAGGAAACATGATATCCTTTGCCCAATTTTATTAAATTGATGGTAGAATTATATATTCAAGGAATTGCTACACAATGTGTCCAACAAGATCTTTCACAGTCTCCACAAAAAACATCACATGGGTGGTTTGACATTTTAAAATATTATATTCTACTAGGAAATGCTAATGGTTAATAGACAAAACTAAGCACCTAGAATGAGTAAAAAGGCCAAAACTGGTTATTTTGACTATACCAAGATTCTTCCCTAACAATTTGATTTTTTAAATCTGTTTTTTTTTTTTTTTGGAAAATAGTTCTTTACTGGAATGAACAAAAAGTGTTTTATGAAATATATTAGCACCAAGTTTCCTGAGAAACTGGCATTAAAAACAAAAATTCACATATACTTTAGACTTTCTGCCAAAGCTCTAAATGAAGTGAAAGAAAAGAATGTGACTTAGATCAGTTAAGGTATCAGATTACAATTCCTAAGAAAGGTGTGGTAAGGAAGATGGGAGAGGAGAGGGAAAAGTTTTTGATGGAATTGCAGCATTACTTGCACAGATTAAAGTATGCCATAGATGTGACCCAAATCAAACAAACTAAAGAACAACTCATTATAAATCATTATGTTGTTAACATCTTAAGTAAATTCTACTCATAGAGTACTCATGAGAAACAGAAAATAGGTATCTTGCTCTCTCTCTTGCAGACATACACTCATACATGAATACATATATATGTACATATATAAACCTAACTTTGAGACAAGTGGAAATAATTTTACATTTATTGAGTTCCTTTTCCATATCAATAAATATAATACACTGGCTTTATTACTTATTCTTTTTAAAATATTGTTACATCAGTAGTAAAATGTGCATAAGGTGCAAAATTAATAATACAAAATTTATAAATTATGAAATCTGCCTCCCAGACACTTCACATGAAGCTCCTGCTAATAGTTCATTTTGCTTCTGCATCACATCTATGTATTCCAGACATGTGCAAATACTCAAAACAGTGGTTCAGAGATGTACTGTTTTCTTTAATTCTTACAAAAGCAAATAATATGACATACCACTTTAGATTGGAGAGGACTGAGTTTCAAAGAGGCTCAAATAATTTTCTCAATCATATTTAATTAATTTAGGGAGGACCCAGCTTTTTCTAAAAACCCAGTGACAGCATTTTAGTGTCAAATTATTCTTTCCAGGTGCAAGACAGAATTCCAGCTTGAAGATAAAACCTTAACAAAAATCCCAGGTCTTTGAAATAGATCTCAATAATATCACATAATAATGGAATATTTCTAAGCTATTAGTGCTGCATTGCCTGGAAAAGATTTCAATGAGGAAAAAAAATTACTCTGAAGTTGACTATTCCTTTCACATCATGAAAATGTGAGCTGGTATTTACTTCACGTGAAAGATACTAGATTTTAGTCCTGTGTTCCATTTGCAGCTGGCATTTATTCTGAGCAGGGGAGTGACTGCTATTTGGTATCAAGAAATCCCTGAGCCATAAAAATATTAGCTAGCAACTAGTGGCAAACAACTGTAATCCTAGCTACTCAAGAGGCTGAAATTTGAGGATGAAGATTCAAAGCTAGACTGTGCAGAAAAATGATTGAGACTTTTTTTTTGGGTCCGGTCATTGGGCCTGAACTCTGGGCCTGGTCGCTGTCCCTCAGCTCAAGGCTAGCGCTCTACCACTTGAACCACATCGCCACGTCCGGCTTTTTTCTTTTTGCTTATGTGGTGCTGAGGAATTGAACCCAGGACCTTGCAAGGCAAGCGCTCTACCACTGAGCCACCTTCCCAGCCCCGATTGAGACCCTTATAGCCAATTAATAAGCAAAAGCCAAAGGAGAAGGTGTGTTTCCAGTGCCTTGAGTACAAAATGCTAACGTGAAAGGTCCTGGCTTTGAGTCCAAGCTCTCATACTGATCCCCCCACCCCCCCAAAAAAAGAATGTAAAGAAATTATAAATATCTTAAAGAATAAATTCCAGAAAATTTCCTATGACAAAATGATCCTTACTAAAGTGATTGGTAAAAATCAAGTTGTTTTTTTTTTTATTGTGAAAATACCATATAGAGGGGTTACAATTACATGGGCAAGATAATGAGAGCATTTCTTAAAGAGGATCTGAGACACGTAAGGCATATTTAAGGATGTGGGAATTTAGGGATTATGTTTAAGAGAGAGAGAAAACGTGTTATCTCTGGTTAATTAAAACAACAACAAGGGGCTGGGAAGGTGGCTCAGTGGTAGAGCGCTTGCCTTGCATACATGAGGCCCTGGGTTCAATTCTTCAGCACCACATAAGTAGAAAAAAAGGCAGAAGTGGTGCTGTGGCCCAAGTGGTAGAGTGCTAGCCTTGAGTTTAAGAGCTGAGGGACAGCGCCCAGGCCCAGAGTTCAGGTCCACAACTGGAACCAAAAAAAAAAAAAAAAAAAACCCAAAACAACAACAACAAAAATTTACCAAAACAACAAAAAAAGCAGCCCGGTGCTGATGGCTCACTCTGTAATCCCAGCTACTCAGGAGGCTGAGATCTGAGGATCATGGTTCAAAGCCAGCCCTGCAGGAAAGTCCTTGAGACTCTTCTTTTCAAAAAACGAGCAGAAAACTGAAAGTGGTTCTGTGGCTCAAGTGGTAGAATGCTTGCCTTGAGCTGAAGAGCTGAGGGACAGCACCCAGGCCCAGAGTTCAAGCCCCACAACTGACAAAAAAACAAAAACAAAACAAACAAACAAGCATTTTGGAAAGAGATTATATTAAATCACAATAATTTAGTGAAGTAGAGCCACAGAGCAACTTTCGGTTTTCTGGTGGTTTATTTGAGATTAGAGTCTAACAGACTTTCCTGCCTGGGCTGGTTTTGAACCTGGATTCTCAGATCTCAGCCTCTTGAGTAGCTAGGATTAGAGGCATGAGCCACGGAAGCCCTGCAGTAAACTATTTTTTTTTAAGCTGGCATATAGTTTTATAATTTTCTGTTGGCTGAAATTGCTTTGTCTTGGAGATGGTAGTATAAAAAGTACATACTGCCAGAATTCATCTTGCCACTGTAGAGATGATCTGAACCAAACTTGGAATTTTATTTCCCAGTGCTGGTGAACTAAGCCTGAAACCACCTACATTTTTTTTCTCTCTTATAGGCTGAGATAAAGAGGATATATTCAAATTATGTGAGAAGATCGGATATCCTAGTGTTTAGTTCTGAAGTATAAAGTACTTACTGCCTGTATATTTCATAGATGATTGTTGTTACCCTTGGTAAATAGCATAGTTTGGAAAACATGATAGAAATTATTTATGTTCAAAAGCCCATTAAACTAGTGAGCATTCTACCTAAGGCAGTATAACACAAAATGCCAAGAAAAACCCAAAGCAAAGAATTAAATGTTCTGTGAAAAGCAAAATTTATAACATGGTTATGAAGGAAACAACTTTGTAAAGTGAGTTAAAACTCTTGAGTCAAAAGTGTTGCAGGGATTCTGCAATTTTATTAGCTGTAAGAGGACTTGTTTCTTATTCTGTGTTCTTCTGGTTAATTGATTTAAAAATTTAGGTTTTCCAGTCTTCTCCACAAGCACTTTATGTCTTTGAACGTTACTAAATTATTTTACTATATAGGGTTTATTCAGTCTGAACTTTATGTGAAGCTTGCTTTTCTGAAATGTCTATAGTTCTTTCTCAGCCACATTTCCCTTCCTTGGCTCACTGTAATTCCTTCATGTTCTTTTCCTTTTCATAAGCCTATATAGCCTTTTCAAATAAATTCTAATATAACCTCTAAACTATATTGTTTGTGGACTTTGTGTGGTTGCATACCATAGGAACTAGGTAATGCCTACTTGTCATCATCCTCCCTCAATGGAATATTAAAATAAATAATCAAACCAATCCCAACTGTGAAACATACCACAAACTAAAGCTGCTGGAGGCTCACTTTTACAGACTGTGTTTTGCGTTTTGAATAATACCTAACTTTTTTATTCACTGTGCAATTTAAATAAGTATGGGTTGCAAGTTGGAACAAGGCATGGCTCCTCCCCTTTGTTTAAGACAACTTTCAAATGTCTGCATTACTCTTGAGGAAGGCATCCACATATAATCACTAGTTTACCTATGAATAAGGAAATTATAAGTGTGCTAAGTGTGTTGAATTCCTACAGGTCTTAAAGTTTTGTCTAAATGCTGTATAAATGGATCAAATGGAATGAAACTGTCTGCATTTGAAAAGCAATAGAGAAGATATCTTAGGCTGCAATCCTTTTGTTCTTAATGGAACATGGATTAGTAGTAAACACTAAACAATATTAGAAAAGTATAACTTCATAGTTAATCTAGCTGTCTACATGATTAGTATGTTTTGCCATTTGAGTAGAAAACAAACTTATTAATACATGAATAAAAATAGAAAGTTTATAAATTTATTACAAAGCAGATAATAACAAATTTGCTTTCTTAAAATCTAGATGTATTATTGAAAATTCAATTAGAAATTTGAGAAAAAAATTATCATCATTTTTATTGTGCTATCAAATGATTTTCTATGTTTTATAGAAAGAGAAAAAAGGAGGGAAGGAGAGGTGAGAGAAGGAATGGGGGAAAGAGAAAGAGAAGGAGAGAAGAGAAGAAATGGGAGACAGGGAGAAAGGAAGAGAGAAAGGAAAGAAAGAAGGAAGGGAGATAATAAGAGGAGGGAAGGAAGGATGGGGAACAAAGAAAGGGAAAAAGTGAGGAGGTGGGAAGGAGGAAGAGCAGAAGAAGGGATGAAAGAAAGGAGGGGAGGAATGAGGGAACCAGGGAACAAGGGAGACGGAGGGAGGAAAGGAAATAGGGAAGGTAGGAGGAGAAGAAAGAAAGGATGAAGGGAGGCAAGAAGGAAGAAGACAAAAGGAAGATGAATAAGTTATTTCATGATTTATTAGTTTTTGTCTATTAGAGAATCCCATTGTGGAGATGATTGAAAGGATATGTAAAAATACTTGCAATGAAGATGAAAGTATTCTACTTTTACTTCTACATATTATATTTTCCTACATCTATCTTTCAAAATCTGCATTGCTTAGGGAAAAAAGGAAAAGAAAAACTTGTAAAAAAGAAATGATGGTAAGAGAAACACCTAGAAGGAATCACAAAAACATACTGTGCTGCATTTCAAGAAAAAACAAAACAAAAAACAAAACAAAACAAAAACGAGAGGCCTCACAAAAGGTGAAGACAAAAAGCATTCCTTCATCCAATCTATTTAATAGGACATCAGAATAAGCTGACTAATGTATCACAGTCAAGGTTTACTTAACTTTTATACTACTTACAATGACTGTACTGATAAATTTGTCCAGATGTTGAGAAATTGATAGATCTCAGACCACAATTTATAGACCAGAATAAATGTCAGTTTTAAAATCATTAAGTACTTTTTAATCTCTCAAGTGAAAATCAAGAGAAATTTCTTATAATGTTAAATGTTAAAGTTCAAATAAGGATGCATACTGCTAGAGCTATTTTAAAGATATTATTACATTATTTTGATAAAAAAGAATAAGATAAGTTAGTGCAATGTCAAAACAGCATTTAGTATTTTTTTTCCATTTTCAAATATTCAAACATATCACTTCTGATATTCTACTCATGAAATGGTTAGTGATTAATAATAGAAAATCTACACAGATAAATATAACACATAATATGTTACTGTTTAAAAGAGATTAATTATTTTGATTAATTATTGTCTACATACCTATTAGAAGAGATGCTGTCAAAAGTTTAGGGTCATAAGGACTCTTCCCACGGCCATTTTCAAAATGTGAGTCCTCAAGTTTAAAAATGTTGTCCTGTAGATTAAAACAAAAGAAGTCATTTTCCGCTTATTCACAAAAAAAGGATATTTCCATCATGTCACTTAGAGATTACATTAGCTTGTGCAAACTTTAGAGACCACAAAATACATTAAGTGATTTAAAAGAAGTGGATATAACCAAAGAACTCCTTGCTTTTTTAGCTTTTAGTACCATTTAGCATGTTGTAGGTAATATTGTTGACCCAAAATTTAAAGAGCAAAATATGTCATAGCAAGAATTAATCTATTTCCTAAATAGTTATACCAAGATGTATCATAGTGACTTTTGAAATAATTTTAGACTTAAAGGAGTGTCTCTTTTTGCTTTTCTAGATAGAATAGAAAAAGGGGAAGCAACTCTTGTACTCTTCTGTGTGTGATTTCCATTAAAAATGTTCAAAGAGTCATCCCATACCTTGTCCTTTATACAATGTTGGTGCTACTTATGAAATTTTTGGTTAGATAAACAACATGTAAGATGTCTGAAGTTCTTCCTCCTCTGTCTAAGAGAGAAATATTAGATTATATATTAAGGGGGTATGCCTTGAGGTTAAATCAACAGAACAGGCAATTCTCCTCTGTCCCAGTTTGTGGAGACAAGAATGGACTTCTGACTACATATAAAAATGTTCATGTTCTAAAATTTTTAAAAAATGTTCATTCACGTTCTGAGCTGGTATGTGTGCAGAAAAGCATGACACCCCAATCTTCAATGAAGTGCATTCCTGCCTGAAGCCTTGTTGAAATTCTATAATCTATATATAGCCTATAAATGTAACGACCTCAACTTATTTGTAACAGTGGAATAACTTTGGCATCATTTCTGAGCATTCTTTTCAGATCCAGGAGCTCTGGGAATTAATTAAGGCAGAATATGTATGCTTTTTCCAGTAGCACATTAACTTGTCTATAGTCGGAAATAAAATAGCTTTTTTGGCAATTTCTCTGCTATTCACATAAAAGTATTCTCTATCTTAGAATAGTAAATGACATTCATTTTATGGTCAGTAAAGATCACTTTATTTAACATTTAATATTTCTGATGGAGCTAATGGCAGGATTTCAAGTTATGAATCTTAAAATTCATTTGAATTAGGGAGGAAAGCAAAAAAGGAAGCAAACCAAGAGTTCTTGAGTTTTATTACTGTGAGTGGGAATTATCAAGTCTACTTTTTCATTGCATCGATTCTCTATTTAGTAATTAGATGTCCCTAGCAATGAAAATATACTTTTCTACCACAAACCTGGTAATTATGATTAAAATTCACATATACTTATTTACTGTGGGTTGGAGAACAAAGGAAATAGATTTAGTGTCATCAATATGGTAAAGAATATTGTAAAAATACCATGTTTTAATACTCATGAAATGTTTTGTAACACTGACAAAGAGGAGTTGTTCTCTCAAAGCATGTGACACTTAATATCTGGGATCTGATAGCCAAGTTAAACACACATTGTCATGACAAATGAGAAGTACTTCCAGTTTCATGTAGTATATGATTTACAAGGTACAGGATTAGACTTCATAGGCAGAGAGGTTAAGCATACCAGTTATGGTTCAAGAGAAGATGAAAAACTAGCCTTTGTCATGGTGTCAGGTAATATCCTCAAACCTTTCTTCATTTTTGTTGAACTCCAAAAATATATACTAAGTGAGTCACCCCTTTTTAACTGATACACAATCTTTTTACTCTAAATGTAACTCTTACCATAATATCTCATTGTATATCCTGTAAATTCATATTTTATATGATTATACAAAGGGGCAAAACAAACTGATTATCCTTCCTAGCTCAGTGACATAAGATAGTCAAAATAATTGTGATTTGATGTTTGCATTCAAAAGGTAAATAACATTTTAAAACACAAATGTTTTAGTGTACACTTCATATTTATTGCAAGCAACAATGGAGTCCAAGGATGTTGAAACTGGAAAGAAGAGTGAGGTAGTGCTCCCTCTTTCTGCCTTTAATTTTTTCTGGGCCTCAGACAATTCTTGAAATTCCCTAAAATCTCAGACTCCCCAAGTGCAATAAGGTAAGAAAGTCTTATAGTGGACATGAAAATGTAATAACACAATATATGGTAATAACAATGAACTTATTATGCCCTCAAAAATCTAATAACAACAGATGCTGGAGGGGATGTAGACAGAAGGGAAACCTACTGCATTTTTGGTGGGAGTGTAAACTTGTTCAACCACTTTGGAAAGTAGTATGAAGGTTCCTCAAAAGACTCCAGATAGAGCTCCCCTATGATCCAGCAATCCCACTTTGGGGTATTTACTCAAATAATCACAAAAAAGACAATACTAAAGCTACCCGCACAACTATGTTTATGGCAGCATTATTTACCATAGCTAAGATATGGAACCAACCCAGATGCCCCTCAATAGATGAATGGATCAAGAAAATGTGGTATATATACACAATAGAATTATATGCCTCCATCAGAAGGAATGACATTGCCCCATTTGTTAGGAAATGGAAAGACTTGGAAAAAATTATATTAAGTGAAGTAAGCCAGGCCCAAAGAAACACAGGTCCCATGGTTTCCCTTATTTGCAATAACTAGTATATGTCTGAGACAAGCAGAAATGGTCAGATAAGTTAATGTTAGGCGAAATGAACCCCAAGATAAGGCCCCAAATGTTTTTTTTTTTCTTTCTTGCTATTATTTCTAAGATATTTATAAGATGATTTCTTTGTTGCTTTGTATGTCCCTCCTCCACGGTATAACCCTTGTTTTCACTGTATTTGATGTTGGTATAACTTGGGGAGGGGAAGGAAAAAAACAAATCGTTTAAATAGGGATACAGGTGGACCCATTGCAACAATGAGATGTGCAAGACTTTAGGTCGAAAAACGAACTTTACAACTTTGGAGCGGCGTGGCTGAGGGGGGTGGGGAGGGGGGAAGAATGGGTGGGGTGGGAGATGGGCAGGGATGGGAAGGGGAAACAAAGGAGGAGGCAACAATGTTTGATAAGAACTGTACTCATTACCTTGCCCATGTAATTGTAACCCCTCTGTACGGTATTTTCACACACACACACACACACAAAATCTTCACTTGAGATTTCAATTTTGCATTGTTACTACATTTTTTATCGTGAAATCATTCTCTGTGATTAAAATCTCTTCTCCCACACTAGAAATGCCTGCCTTTGTATCCATGAGCAAAAATTGTATATATGTTTAGCTGATCTGGGGAAGGCAAGGAGAACAAAAACACGGTGAGACAAACGACAGAGGGCAAACCAATGCAGCAGCGATACTCACAAGACACTATGTTGAAAATGAACTTTACAACGTGGGAGGGAGGGCAGTGGGAGTGAAGCAAAGTGAGAGAAAAGAGTTGGAGGTTAACAATGTCCGACAAGAAATGTACTCATTACCTTACTCATGTAAGTGCAATCCCTCTGTACATCACCCTTAACAGTACAATTGAAGAAGATATATGGATGTTCAAAATATATGTAGATGCTTCTACCCTCCATAAGGCATTGAGGGTCTTTCCAATAGCTGCACAAGACTAATTGAGAAGTTTTCTTCAAATATTTTCATAACTTTAGGTTTTATTCAATTAGAATAAAAATATTAAATTTTAGAATATGGGATTTTCTTTTAAAATAAGTACATAAACATACTGATCTTATCAATATGTGATTTAAAGTCACTGTAACTGCCAATCCATTCATGCATTTAACTTGGAATTTCTTAAAATTTGCATTATGTGTAAAAAAATTAAAAAGAGACCTCTTTTATCATGTACCTTTAGTACAAGATACATTTACTGTTGATGATAGTCAGAAACTTCAGTGTTGATGCTTTTGCTTTCCAAAGATAAAGATGTGTGAAGGTACTCACTTACTATGAAGTAACCTTACTACATATTAATACTCTGTTTTCATATGGACTAAATCCTACAGGTCACTGGCACTGCTTGAAAAGTATTTTGAAATTTGATTGCTACTCAATGATTCTCTGCCTTAGGAGAATGTTAAATAGATCACATATGAAAACATTAAGACTAAAAATCCTAGGACCCACTTATGCAATAAACCATACAGTTTATATGCCTTACTTGGGCTGAAACAGTTTTCATTTATAGTAGTAATACAGGAACAAAATTCTAACTTCATGAACTCTAATTGCTTTAGCAGATACCATGAACATATCATGTAAGTTATTGTGCCATATTTTATTGCATGATTGCATCAGTTTTCAACGACTATTTTTAGCTTTCAAGACTACTCTTTCCCCTTTGTCTTTTGGATTTCCTGAATGTTATTAACTGGTGAGGTAAGGCATTAGAGGAAATAATAACTGTGCTAATGTCTAATCCAAAGTCTTATAAATTATAAACCATTGGTGACTTCATGGCAATAAATTTCCTAAATCTCAATCCTGTCTAAGCAATAAATTTTGGCAACAATGTTGTAATTTAAGTTATTTTATTTAATGGTTAAAACATAAATGACATTTTAAAAATGGAATAAAATAAAACCCTACATATATGAGATAGAATGAACATTTGCAAAGGGAAGTTACACAAAATTATGTAAAAGCCAGTATTTGGGATAACATTTAAACAATAAATGTGTTTAGAGCTATTCAAATTTACTTTTCCTCCTTCTCACAAAAGATACTCTGTGAAAGTTTTCTAAATAATTAAATATTCCTTCATCCTGCTTTTCCTCCTGATCTTTTTCTGAAGCTCATTTTTACTCCCTCATTCACCCTGGGTCTCCAACCCCAGGCTGACCTTGCTTATTTTAAAGATTAAATTGAAAGCCACTTCCTAGGAGAAGTCATTAGAGGTTTCTGCCGATATAATTTATTAGTGTCCTTTTGTGCAAATGGTAATTAACAATGGTATATAGGCAATGACTGTGCAGGACAAATCTACTGGCTTCATCAAAGAAAGAATGCAATAGGATATCACAGGAAATAGAGTGGTATACTGCACTTTGACCAAAGGAGATCCTGGT